CATCTGGTGATGTCCATGTGTATAACCTTTTCCCTGGTTGTATGAAAATTGTGGGAGAAAGTACTTAGCTACATAACTAAGGTACTTGTATAGGTGATACAGAATCACAGCCATTGTTCTTTGTGCAACTAACACTCTCCAAAAAGTGCCAAAATGTGAGAAGTTGTATGGAAAATCTGCAGAAAATCTCACAATCTTATCCAGGAGATATTTCCCCCCTCATCATTCTGTGCAAATATAAGTTTACATACTTAGGACACTAGTGAGTCCAGAGGGAGAAATTGGTGAAATTTGCCTATTCTCCCATTCAATGAGCAAAAATGTTCTACTGGATTTAAAACCTCCTGTTGACAGAAATAGCTCGTCCATTTGCAACAGACTTTTGCTGGATCCATCCCAATGTGTCTAGACTAGCTTTTAAAAGGAGAATATCTACTTGAGTTTTTATGAGGAATTATATAAATCATTTGAAAATCTTTCCTTTCCCCCATTGTCTTGATGTAAGCTGAATACCTTTTCTCTCTGAGAATTTTTTCCCCTAAACTTACACACAGCATGTAATCTTTGCTTTTTCAGAACACCAGAAAGCAAAATGGGGCTGAATAATATTCAAAATTCCCATTGAGTTGTGTCTGCTGTTCTGTTCCTGGGAAGTTGCATTTCCAGCCTCTGATTCATTCATGTTCCTTTTTCTTCTCTTTTTCTTTGAACAGAAACACAGTTAGGCCACACCTCTTAGCAGGGAGAAATAGTAGTTGAAAGGCTATAGAGAGGTTGCCACTGTTTGGTAAAAAGCTTTAGCAAAGTGGGTTTGAAACTTCATTGAGGCTTAGTGCAGTGGGACCATTTGCCATTCAGATAATATGGTAGGGGAAATATAGAAAAAATCTTCCACTAGAAACTGGCTATGTGGTCTAAAAATGAGGCTGGGGAGAAAAAAAGGACAGCTGGTGGAAGTATTACTTTACCTAGATAAATCAATATCAGAAATATTCATGTGGTACTTGAACAAAATCAGACTTTGTTAATTTATTTTCTAGGGATAGCCATGATGTCACAACAGTGTATAATATTTTGAGTGTTTTTTAATGAAGACCCTGAACCTGGAGAATTACTAAAGTCCAAGTCTTCTATGGAATCTTTTTATGCTTTGTTTACGGAGGTAGCTAGAGAAGAGACTGATATAGAGGCAAAGTTTATTTGGGGATTCAAGCATACAAAGACACCCTAACATACATGCACACACATAAGAACTCAGGAGTAAGGTACTTAGCTTGGATAGGAAACACAAAGTTTTCTAATGGTGATAATTCCCTGAAAGGAGACTGCTTCAATGAAGAATTAAGACAAATAGACTCAACCAAAAAAGGACAATAGGTAGAGCCGGAGACTCTAGTTAGTGATCACAATGGCACAGGGACATCATGAAATCTATCCAGACCCCCCTGTGCCTGAGATTTTGGGGAGCATTTATACCCTTAAGCCTAGGCTGAGGCAAAGAGTTGCTATTGTATATCAAAGGATTCCAATTGCTATGCTTTTAGGTCAGCAATTTCCAAAAGAGGGGAGATTAGATGTTGATGTTATCTCACCTTCA